GAGAGAGAGAGAGAGAGAGAGAGAGAGAGAGAGAGAGAGAGACAGAGAGCGTGCTCGCGATTCTAGAAGGAAGATATAAGCGATACACAGCTGCGCGATAATGGCAACTATAATCAGCGATTCGAAGCGAAATGTGTCCCTTAATACGGCGGCACGTCGGCAAGCGAGCCTCTCGGAGTGTCTGACGCAGGCTGCCCTTACACAAGCTCGACTCAATTTGGCAAGTTAGTAACGCGGGTTGACCTACATCCTAACAGAACGATTTGAGCAACACTATCGATAGTTTTCGATTAAATTTACTTATAGCACTCGTCAAAATGGCCTTTAATTAAATTTGCTAAGTTTAATCGTTAATCGGACGACATTTGATTCCCTTCGCTCATGAACCATCAATTGTACAGTCTTTAATTTAATTAACTGAAGTCAATCGTCAATTAAATGGTCTTTAATTGAATTTGTTGAAATCAATTATAATCGAGCAATCTGTAACAGAATTTGTTAAAATCAATTATTAATCAAATAATTTTTAGTTGAATTCGTTAAAATCAATTGTCAATTGAACGGTCTTTAATTAAATTTAATTAAATGTTTAATTTATTAATTAAACCACTTTTAAATTGAATTCGCTCATACTAATTGTCAATTAAACATAATACTCTTATAAAAATTTAATACTGATAAGTGATAATTTGGCCAGTGATAATTACTGTCGTTCAATAATTTTATTACTCGTACGAGTAATAAAATTACTATTTATTACTGGCCAATTTATCACAGCCAGTGATAGTTTTCTATAAGGGTAATTAATTTAAAAAATAAACAATTACTCGCAACACTGTTTCTTTTTTATAGATTTATATATATTTTTATCTATGTACTTGTAAAATATTTATAATTCATAAGAGAGAGAGAAAGAAAGAGAGACAGATTTTTTTCTTTTTATTTTGCGAATATAGAAATTTATTTTGTTTGTATTACCGCACAGCTGTTAAATAAAATACACGGTGATTACTGTTATCAATTTTGCATGTTTACTTGTATGTTGAATAACTTTCTTACGTATTTACAGAGCGATCACCGGAGAAGAAGTCAGCTACATTACCTCATTCCGGCAGCAATGTCTCGTTGCCAAACGACAGAGCTACGCGACCGCTACCACCTCCACCGGAAAGACAATCTTATGTAGATAAGCCCTGGTTTCACAATGTCACAAGAGAGCAGGCGAATATTCTCATTAAAGAGCGTACGTATTACTCGATTTTGTTATAGATGTGAGTTGCAATATCGAAATATCATTGAGAAAACATCTATGTACAAATTTCTCAGTGGATCTATCATTAAAATTCAGTTACCACACTGTATTCAACATGTAGAAATTCAGAAAAGCTCAAATAATTTCGTACAATTGTTAATATGTATATTTTCAATGTATATATAAATGTATATTTTCAACAGATTTTTATAATAACCCACCGGATGGATATTTTCTTATGAGACCGTCCACGACGAACGTCGGCAATCCTTTAGCCTTGGTCTTTTGGTACAAGGACCGAATTTACAATGTTCCAGTTAGGAAGAGGAATGATAATAGGTATGCACTTTGCTTATCGAAAATGACCACTTTACTAAGTTCAGTTTACTATTTTTAGTCTGTATACTTTTGTATATCAATGAGTACTGGACTGTATTTCGATTTCGCGTGTTAATTTCTGTTAAATTCTGTTAAAAATATATGTCAATTACTAATTTAAACCAAATGATTGGACAAATATTTATAAGACCAATTTTGTGTGTGATTATTAAGATTAATATTATAAAGTATGAGTGCTGGTGAATAGGAAGGTGAAAAATTATTGGAATAACTTGCCAAATGTGCCAAGATACTTTTTGTTATTTTTCTACTAATTCTGTACAGTAAAATATTTGCTGATTTACTTGTTGAATTTAGGTACGCTCTGGGCTCCCCAAAAGTAAACGAGCAATCTTTCTCAACGATCGAGGAAATCGTGACATTTTATATGAAAGAAGAACTGGTACTATATACCAGCGGTATGCAGACAGGAAGCACAAAATTGACTGACACTCCACCAAAGTGATTTTAGTCCGCTATATAGGCTATAAGTATAAGTAAGATTTTCATTGACAATCTCGTTGCACATAAAATTCAAACGCGATATATAAGCACTGCTGAGCAAATTCTTATTGGATTCACGACGAGATAAATATCTCAAACTAGTTGCCTGACGAATAAACATTTAAGCGGTGCCTTCGTTACGCGAAGAATTGAGATGATGCTACCTTAAAGACGAGTTTAGTTCAGTCTACTTGTCTATAATTTGGATTGATAATTACGCGTGCCTTCGGTGATAATGACACAAGCTCGACTATTGAGCGACGGATCTCTCTTTTATTTCGCGAAATATATATATAATATATTTAATATATATGTCAACACATCTCTTATACTAACATAGAATATATATTTATGGCTCACTTAGGGCTAGTTGTTCCACTTCTTGATAAATTTACTGATGGTTAAATCATATATCTATCTTTGTCTCAATTGAAGGAAAAACAAAGACAGACTTTAACTATCAGTTAACTTACCAAGAAGTTGGAACAATTGGCCCTCATATGCGTGTCTAAGGGAATAATTTTATATGACATATTTGAATATTAAATATAAATATCGTATTCGTTATTTTATCAGTATTTTTTATATTTTGATACGCGTTGAACGTAAAGGTGTGTAGTTAATCTACGATATTGAAATGACTTATGTCGATCAATTCGCCTGTATACATGGGTTATCTCTGTTCTCTCTCAGAATGTCGTTTTTATAAGTGGCCTTTGGAACTAGAGTTCTTTGACAACATTAAGAAGAAGAAAAACCTCGTTTTTGAGAGATCAATATGATGTGACATGTATCAAGACTTGATTAAATTTTTCATAAGACATCTTTTCACTTTTTACACGCGCTCGTACATATATGCGTATTCGTGAATGAAATGCGCAATATTACATTGTTCTTATCGCATCGCGACGTCCATTTACGTTTCCCTCGGCGTCTCCTTTTCTACCCGCCGCCCATCACGATTCTGTTCGCGACTCAACTTTGTTAAGATGAATCATTCAATAGCATTTATATATCCGCATATTCGACAGTTATCTCACCGCCAACGTAAGCTCAGGCGATAAGGATAACGCTGATTAACTGGCGAATTGGTTAAACATTTTTAAGCCGTCGTTAAGTAGTTTTTGGTTGCGACGAATTCTTTCTGTGCGTTATGGGAGAATCCTCTGGACGATCGATCGTCGTAGATTAGTCGTCTGTGTTTGTGTACATCTATTATGCTACGGTCTTGGCACAATCATGCTACAGTCTCTTGATAACGCGATTACGTCATGCATATACGTGAACTTTGAGCTAGTTAGATAGAAATAAAATTGAATAATCTTTGCGTATGTACATTAATGCGTCATGAATCCGTCGATACGTCGATACGATAAAATTTGTAAGATAGTTTTTGTGAAACATTTCACGTTAACGTTACGGTTTTCGAACTGAAGAATACGATCTTTTTATCCCTTTGGTTTTTTTAAAGTTTCTTTTATAACAGTTTAACAATAACAGTTCTTTCTCAATCTCTTACAGAAAAGTAACGAAGACTGTCGATATATTTCGATATAATTAATAAGAAAAGATTGACTGCAGATTCGCATGTGCGCGCGCGGAGGAATTTGTTCGCAAAACCACTGCCACACGGATTGCAGTGTATAAATTCAGTGAATTTAAACTTTGAAGTGATTACATAATTATTCGTAGCGACTTAAGCGCGTCAACTGATGTAAAGAGTATCTTTCCACGCGCATAAATACCGAAGATCGAACATACGATTTTCAATTTGATTTGCGTGCAATCTCGAGACAAGTTTGAAAGCAGAGCAGCCCGCCATTGATCACGTGGGCCTAATCACGAGGGCAGCTTGATCACGGCAGTGGCGGGAGAAGAGGTAAGCTAGTTACTTTTCGTAGATGCGTCGCGTTGTGCGGGTTAGGCAGCGAAAGGTCGCGCGGGCAGGGGGCAGGCAGTGGATGACGACGGAATGAGCGGATTGTACGGCGGATTTGTGCACATCGGCGTGTTAACTGCTGGCAAGTGAGTCGCCAATTGAGCGGCTCGTACGATTTGATCACTTAAGAGACTCTTTTGTAGGCGCGTCTCGCGAATCCCGGGGGGGCGTTGGACTGCGAACGTCGAGGCGCGAGCGACCGACGGAGAAGGATGCTGTCGTGAATACCACGGTAAATAATCAACCAGGACGTTAGATAGTCCCGCGACCTGGCCTCCGGGCGAGAGGGAGAGGCGGGCCATCGACACGACGGATAAACGCGATAAAACAATGTTGTGAGTCACCGGAGCCGCTGGGAGCAATTCTCCGCGTCGCGCGCGAGGTGACGGGCGAGAGGAGAGAACGATGCCGCCTCTGCGTTAGATAAGACATACTAATCGCCCGCGAGACCGCCGCCCCAGGAGCAATGGACGATGAACAGCCGGCGAGGGAGGCCAACAAGATCTGCGGAGTTTGCGGCGACCGGGCGCTCGGCTACAACTTCAACGCGGTCTCCTGCGAGAGCTGCAAGGCCTTCTTCCGCAGGAACGCGTTAAAGAACAAGGTAAATCTGCAAGCTCTCGCTCCCGTCTGAATCCCGACATTTCACTGGTTGATTTGCTTCTCGAGGAATTTGAGAGGATAGTCTGGATGTGAAGGAGTCTCTGAACCTACATTGTGGTTCGTTGAATTCTTAGAGAAGCAAGTTGAGCCATCGTTGTGTTGAATTTTTGAGATATTTGCAATTAAATGATGAAGTTTTCTTAATAGTTTGGTAAAGTTGATCTTAATGTTTGGCAAGATTAAACTTGAGAAAATTCTTTGAGTATGCATTTAATTTCCTAACTTATCGTCTTACAGAGACATGTTATATATCATTGTTATGTTTTTCAATTATCTATAATTGATAACTTCATGCTTTTATTTGGAAAGATATCAGCTGAGAATCATTCGTTACTGTTACTATGAATAAAAAGTTGAAGACATTTCTTAATAAATGTGTTACACATGTAACATATTGGATAAGATGATGAGAAAATAATGAACTAAATGGAACATATATACACTTTGTTTTTAACTCTGAAAGTTTTCTTGCAGTTTGGCAAAATTGATCTCAATTTTAAAAGAAAATTATTCAAGCGTAGATTTAATTCCTTGACTTATTGTCTCACAGAGACATATTATATCATTGTTTCATTCTCAGAGACATATTACATCAATATTTTATTCTCTTCAATTATTTATGGCTGATTGGCAATTTCATACTTTTGTTCTCAGGGATATCAGCTGAGAATTATTCATGCAGTCACTATAAATACAAAATTAAAGATATTTCTTGATGAATGTGTTATATATGTAACTTATTTGATAAGACAATAAAGAAATAATGAGCTAGATGGAATATACTTTATTTTTAAAGTTCCCTTGCAAGGTTTGGCAAAGTTGATATTAATGTTAAGAAAATTGTTTAATTATAATTCTTTGACTTATCATCTCACAGAGACATTATATCATTGTTATGTTTCATTATCTTTAATTACCTATAGCTGATTTCATACTTTTATTTTGAGAGATTTCAACTGAGAATTATCCATTGTAATCACTTGAATACAAAGTTGAAGACACATTCTTAATGAATGTTTCACACATGTAACTTATCTGATAAAATGAATAAAGAAATAATGAGCTAGATGAGACATGCTTGTGCTATTGTTTGCTTTTGGGAGGCCAACGAGGAACATACATAAAAGTTGCAGCAAAGTTTAAAAGATTGAATTTGCATACTAAAATTTAGCATGCTGTTAAGAGAGCCAGATAAGATACTAGTGTTTTTGCATCTTAAGTTATTTCCGTCTATAGCGGCTACATAATATTACTTTAATTTATTCATGAGATTAATTGAAATCCAGGACGGAGTTAGCAATAAAGCGGATCTTTTGCATGAAATCTTTGGAATTCATTAGAGAATCACGAGTGAGAGTAATATTGCACAATCTATTCGCAGGACTTTCGGTGTCCCTTCACGGAGAACTGCACCATCACGCCCGTGACCAGACGCTTCTGCCAAAAATGCCGCCTGGACAAGTGTTTCAGTATCGGCATGCGCAAGGAGTACATCATGTCTGAGGAGGACAAGGTCCTGAAGCGCAAGAAGATCGAGAAGAACCGCGCCAAGAAAAGATCCCAGTCCGACAATGTCAAAGCATCGAAGATCAAGAAAGACTGCATGGATAGCACGTTCGAGGACACGTCGATGTCCGTCAATTCGGTAGCGTCCACAATGTCGGAGACGTACTTCTGGGAGTCCGATCGCAAGTACGCGGACTTGGACGGCAACAGGCAGAACGTGGTGGAAAGCATGAGTCCGGTGACGGCAGCCAGCGTGCCGAGTCCCTCCAGTCCACCTGAGAGCACGAATATCGCCGAGACGAAGACGCTGGACATGCTGAAGGAGGCTGCTCATGGCTCAAAGTCCAACTTCGTCAGGTACGGATAAATAGGATCAATATAATAATTACAACTATAATGTGTGTGTAATAATAGATATATAATTTAAATATAAGTAATAATCATATATATGTTTTTAAATCATATTAAAAAAGTTTATTTAAAAAAGTTATAATACATAGTAATAACTATATAATTGAAATACAAGTGATATGTAAAATATAAATAATGTAATCTATGTATATATGCAATAAGAGAACTTTAACTGGCAACTGATTTAATACGTCTTGGACGAGTGTATCTCCAGTGATGCACTGCCTGTCTTCAATTTACAATGTTAACGCATAATATTCTGTAATATTAATTTATAATGGTTTAGTATAATTATTTAGTAACCTATCAGAGATGACAAGTAGTCCGAAATCTGTTATTCCGCGAATATTTACCTTAATTTTTCTTTTTGGCATTTGATTATTTAATATGTTATATATATATATATATATATATATATATATATATATATATATATATATATATAATTCTTGATATAACACGAGCTATTCCAGCGTTACGTTACGTGTTTCGAATTGTGACCAATAAGATAAAGCCAGTTTCAGAACTGATCAAAGCCCGGGATAATTACGGATCTTTGCATTTGTCAAATTTAGTCGACCAAGTTTAAAATCTATCGTATATTTCGTGAATTGGCTGCGCCTTAAGTTTTGACCGTAGCAGACCACAACAGACGTTACGACGTCTATTATATATCTATACGTTTGACCATAACAGACGCAGAGTCAAAGGAAAGAAGAATTATCTCGTGATTGTCTATTTTCAGCCGTACGAGACTCGCCGACTTCAATGTGATGCCTCATAGCGTGGAAAAAGATAAGGATTCTCCCACGAGTTCAGGAAAGTACGAGCAGGACACGCTGGAGTTTAACTCCACGTTTGTCAATACTAACGGCGAGTCGCCGAAGTACAATTCTCAGTTCGAGGAGAACGCGTCTAGTTATTTCAAGTTCGAGCAAAGTCACGAGCCGAACTCCAACGCGTATGTCGTTCGCGTCTCGTTCACCGGCACGAGTCAGTCCGACTCGAGCTTAACGTCGCAGTCTATCAAGGAAGAGGCGACGATATGTCAGAAGTCCAAAGAAACGTGTTCGAGCGGGAACAATCTGGTCGCCAAGTTCAAGCAAGATCCTGAATTGCTCTCCAAGTTCATCAGCAATCCGAACTTGGTCGCGAAGATATTCCAAGACCAGCGAGTGATCATGAAGATCATGATGGACCCCGATTTGGCCACGTGCTTCGCGGCAGACCCGCATATCACGCAGTTCTTAAAGGAAAACGGCGCGATCGATGCAACCGACGAGCGCACTGACGAGTGTAACGTCGAAATGGTACAGCAATCGGAAACCCCGAAAAGTGACAGTATCTCGAGTAGCAGCGGTACCACGACTAGGCTGAAATTCAAAGGTAATCATGTGGAAAATCCAATCCTGACGGATTTAATCACGAATCGCAACGCGGAAGAGTGTAAGAATCAAAACTCGGAGTCCGTTACCAGCGCAGATTGGAGTAAAAATCCAGCCGATGTCACTAGGGATGTTCTTCAGGATGTTCAGAGGTAATGAGCAACCCGACTGTTTATGTACAGAATGAATCGCCCAATATTGGATTCTAAACTATTTCCTTTTTTTTAATAGAGGAAAACGTGTAAGAAATAAATCACACAATTGATTACATTGTCCTCCGATATAAAAAACAACAGAGGCATTTCAAAATTTAATATTAGCTGACTCACACCTTATATACTTTGTGCAGTTACACATACGCTCTTTGTCTAATTGCACATAAATATATTTTACGTGATAATCCTTTATACGCTAGTGTCATTTCTTAATGAAGGGCTATTCGAACTTGGTATTGAAACTAGGTCGTTTGTTTCAGGATACCGATTGCTGCTAACTCCATCGAGTCCATTCTGTGTGAGGCTATCAAGTTAGAATATTCAGCGTTTTCTAGTCTTGGCGTGAATCAAAGCAGTAGGGAATTAAATGACGCCGAGAGAGCGAAATTAAATGAGCTGATAGTTGCCAATAAAGCATTGTTAGCTCCGTTAGATGACGACATAACGAATTTAGTCGGCGACGAGTGCAAATTCAAGGTATTGTTGCTAAGATTTTACGTTCGATATATAAAAAATATATGTAATAAATAATTGCGACAAACTCCATGCAATGAACATTAAATTTTTTTTAAGAACATTAACATACAACGAATAATGAACGCGAATGGCAACGATGGATATCTGTTTCCAGAATAATTTCGGACAATCCGACCCAATGCTGTTGGACGTTATAAATTTGACGGCTATAGCAATTCGACGGCTGATAAAAATGGCGAAGAAGATAAACGCCTTCAAAAATATGTGTCAAGAGGATCAGTTGGCTCTGCTGAAAGGCGGTTGCACGGAGATGATGATCCTAAGATCGGCTATCAATTACGATCCGGACAAAGACATGTGGAAGATACCCCACAGCCAAGAGAGCATGTCGAATATTAAGGTCGACGTTCTGAAGGAAGCGAAGGGAAATCTATACGCGGAGCATGCGAGATTCGTCCGGACGTTCGATCCACGATGGAGAGACGAAAACATCATTTTAATTTTAAGCGCAATCGCATTGTTCACGCCCGATAGGCCGAGAGTCGTGCATGGCGACGTTATTAAATTGGAGCAAGTAAGTGAAATTTTCTGCGGCACAACAATTGCAACGATCTTGATATACTTTGCGACAAATCTACTTGATAGTTCGAACCAAATAAGAGTTGGTGATTAATTTGTATCATCAGGCATTTATTTTACATTTTTTAAGAATTTTTGCGGGTAGTTTTTTTCCGAGCTGTATTCTCATGTTGATGCATTTCTTTCTTCTAGAATTCGTACTATTATCTCCTCAGACGATATCTGGAGAGCGTTTATCCTGGTTGCGAGGCCAGGTCCACATTTCTCAAGTTAATACAGAAGATTTCCGAATTGCACAAACTCAACGATGAAGTCGTGGGAGTTTACTTGAACGTCAATCCATCGAGCGTAGAGCCGTTGCTTATCGAAATATTCGACTTGAAGCACTAATCAGCCGGTAAAGTGTCATGTCAGTTTCGATTTTCTGTTTATGTATATTTTAATTCAAACTATAGAACTAGGAAACTCGCATTACCGCCGGAACATATTCTTGGGAATATCCTAAAAAGAAAAACAGAAACGATATCAAAGGACTCGTTAGCTGATTCCAATATTTATGAGAGATATGATCATTGTAAGTTCTCTGCATTGCCTCACTTGTATAAACGATATAATTTGTAACAATACGATTTTAAATCTCTTCGAGCGATAGAACGAAAAATATGTGTGTAGAACGTAGTTAATTAGTTTGGTGTGAGACAAGAGGCCAATTACACACGGACATGTGAGCGAGACGCTCACGCGAGTCACACGTGAAAGCGATATATCGATGTTTATCAGAATTTAATACCTCTCACTCTGAAACGAAACGCATTTATGCACGCGCGATATCTTTCGTCGGAATAAACAATGTCGATTAAAGCAGAATGCGCGCGCTCTGATACGCGGTTTAAGAATTATTAACAGGAGTAGCAATATTTAGCTTCGCAATAAGCACATGCTATATCGTTACATATTTTGTGGAGTATCTTTTGAGCTCTATATCATTCTCATTGCGTATCCAAAGTAAACGTACGCGTACAACGACAGCGCAATGATTCCTAGATGGCTGTTCCAACCATGTTTCTCCCCCAGAGAGATAGAGATATATATATTTTTTTTAATACTTCGGAGAATCGTCAAACTTTACATCTTAAGCAAGCGTGTTATTTATATAACAAGGCCTGCGTTTACAAAATCAAGAATCTGCCGACTATAATCCGATCGGACGTATAGTGATATGGTACTATAACGTAATATAGTACTGTATTCCACACTTTTATTATTATGGATTACATATAGAGATATATGTTGTTAAAGAAATTCGTGCTTCGAAAGAATGTATTTTGAAGAAGCAAGATTTTAATGCAAATTTTACGACATAAAATTACGATAATTTAGCTTTAACCAGAGTATATATGTAAATAAATGCAAGAAGGGATATACTTGTACGAGTGTACGTGTTGTTGTTACAATGTACACGATAAATTGTGATATACCCGGACATAAATATATTTTTCAAAAGGATGTTGCACATAACTACATCGATAAGTTCCTCGCGGCGTAGATAAGGCCTTTCTACTACCGTATATTTATTTAATTTATGGCAATGAGATAAGTGTTCATGTGTCTCACTTACTGGGATATGATACGTCCTCGAGTTTGTTAATCATCTGTGTTCATTATTTCTTGTCGGTAGAAGGCCGAGAATGTACAAAATGATGAGCACTATTACGGTGGTAGAGGCTACGAAGAATATCAAATTGAGGAAAGATATGAATAAATAAAAGAAAACTTTAAGAACGGAGAACAAAGCCCATGATATCCAGCCCAAAGTTATATCCCAGATTGCTTTCAGTCCCATTCTCTCACCATTGTGAATTTTGATACATATTACGAAGAGGAAACAAATTTCACATAACGATCATGATGCAAAGAGGTTCGCACTTTTTTTATTCCTTTGTATGTAGCAACTGTCACACGCATACATATAAAGATCGTTTCTGTATCAGTATATATCTCGTAATGTAAACATTATGAATAGATCATCGAGAATGATTGATACAATCTGCGAAATCAAGAACTTCAATTGATTGCTTCCGACGATTCTGACATCGTCAAAAACGTGAAGCACAGAGTCGACATGTCTAAACATCTGAAATAATATACTAATTTATTATTTAAGAAAATGCAAATTCATACACATTATTCCTCATTTGTACGTATTCGATTTTATTATATTGCTCTCAGTTTCGTACAAATTTATGTACATATTAAATCGACACGTTTTTATAAACCTTTAATTTTTACAGTGTGATCATATCTTTATCGTTACATTTCACGAATTTATACAGTATGTTATATACATGTTTAAACATGTTTAAACATGTTCTTTTTGTGTTTCACGTTCGTAATACAACTCACAACACAGTTTTTTTTTTGTTCACTCATTTATCATGTTTTTTGCCCATTTTCGCGAACGTCAACGGCCGTGTCGCAAATGGCGGTATTGTTTCCTAATTCTACGACGACGGGCTTTGCCGTCTGTGTGTCTGGATAAAGCTCGCGCTTATAGTGGAAGAAAGTCTCGACATTGCTGTCGTATGGCTTCACGAACGGGCAATTAATTTTTTCCGCAGCCAAATAGCAAGCCCCAAGCGCTGACGTAGTCGTCAACTGAAGAAGACTCAGCTCGTTCACGATGCATTTGTCGTGAATTTCGCCTACGAATCCTTTCTCCATGAATTTCCATGATTGCCACACAGATCCTACACAGATCACCTTTAAGCCACCCGGAGCCAGTTTGAGATCCTGAAAGAGGTAAGCACAATTTTGTTATATTGCTATCTAAGATAAATGTTAGTAATGTGTTAGTAGATTCAAGCAGCATATCAACTGTGTGTCCACACATTAAATTATAAATTCTACAAGCAGAATCTGTTGGCGGAAATCTCGAATGGGGTTTGCCAATATACTCTATTTAAATGTACTTAAATTATAATTTAACATTATAAATCCTATTTGGTTTCTATCTCCAATTTGCTGTCCAATTTGTTCCAAATTTTTTTCAATTTTTTCTGTTAACAGATTCTGTTATATTTTCGCTGGTTATCGAAAAAATTTATAGCAGATATTTTGCTGTGTCTCAACAGATTTGGCTGTCCGGAAAAGTAACAAAGTGATATATATCGTATTATGATGACGTTACAATATGAAAGATAATAAATTACAAAGCAATTTGATCTCTAATTCAACCGGAATTGCTTGCAGGTCGGTAAATTTATCGCAAGTAAATCTAATTGATTTATTGCTATTGAGATAAGAACACTGACATTGTGCGCTTTCTTCGAGACTGCTATGATGTGCCTCGCCAAAACTTGTCCAGCTTCTTTGAAGACTCTCAGACAGAGTGGATCGCCTTTTTCGCAGCCGATCGCCACTTCCTTAGTGAAACCCGCGATGATGCTCTTGTCGAACTTCGCATAGAGGTATGCCAATATGCCATTTCTGTCAGTCACGTCGAAGTAATTTCTCATCGCTGGCCAGATGTAGCTTATGGGCTCTGGCGCTTCCACAAAATCGTCAATGTCATCGAAGACGTATTTGCAAGCGCGATGGGCGATCCAATAAGCTGGAAAAATTAACAAGAGAAAACAGTTCGGGATTTGTTTACAATACGTATGTAAATCTAGCTCAAACGAATCTAATTTTCTAGGAAATTAGGAATTATTCTAGAAAATTGATCTATGATAAAATAAAAAAAAATGTACGACTGATATAAATATATATATATAACTCTTAAGCCATCTCTAAACCAGCAAATAATAATTTCGCACTATTGTCGCGAGATATCTAATAATTCTTGCAATGGAGATTTATTATGGGAACAATGAGAGAGGGTGAGAGAAACTAAATACACAAAGTGCTGATAAGAGATAAACCGATATGAGTCAGAATCATAAATGATAGTGCATAACTAAAAAAGAAAAAAATACTGAATTTAAATGATTCCAATCGAAATCATAATAAAATGATATTCCGTCCATAGATTCTATCTTATTCGAAGTTAAATTAAATTCAAAGAGCTGAATCGTTAGTTAGAAGAAACTCGTAAGTTTCAATGCCGATTTTCTACTCATGTGTGTTCTTTTACATTAGAAAATTTATACCTCCACCCTCGTCGCCCATCATGTGTCCCCATCCGCCGCAACCATGAGTCTTCCCATCGGGATTGATCAACAGAGCGTTGCTGCCAGTTCCAGCGATCAGTACGATCCCGCTGGACTCTAAGCCGGTCCTAAGGCTGCCGAGAGTATCCGAACTGATCACATAATCTCTGGCGGAATGTGGATATGATTGCAACAGAGTCTGCACGAGCTGACGGTTAGTGGTTTCCTCCTCGCAGCCGCTTAAACAGAGTCCCTGTCGACGAAAGCATCATATATCTCCGCGGAGTACTTCATGCAAAAGTATACGTGATTTATTCTCCATCGGGGTCTTACACATACGCGTTTAACTCGCGAATTGTGCATAATTATAACATTTGATTAAGTACTCACTACGCAATCCAGAGGAACGGATTTTGGTATATTCAGCTGTTCTTTCCCCTTCTCTATCATCGTGCTGAGTCTGGCGGCCGCTTCATTTATCCCGATCGCCTAGGTATCGCATGGAAGCAAACATATTCCTTTTTATTATTATCGTTATCCCGTTATCTATTTTATATGCCTTCATTAGCTTTCTTCGCGATCGATAAAACGACTTTCCGTAGTTATTCGAGTCGCGTATTTCAACCGAGAAACCGCCGTAAATTTTCAGTTTTATCCAAATTTGACCGAAGGACGATAAATCTTGAAGTGTATCGCAAAATTCTCGAATACTCGAATATAAATAATAATAATATACGCTTCGCAAATACGCGGCTCACTCGTGTAATTTCATTCATTTAATCACCCAGTGATTAGTGTGTGGCCCTTTGACTTCCGTTAGTCGCGTACCATTCCCGTCGAGTATCACGAGTGTAGAATGTGTTGCGCCTCTGGAAAAAAAGCAGAAAAACGAAGAATTAATCAATTGACGTTTAGGGGAGGTCATACTTGTAAATGTTACTGACAAAATATTCACTTCTCTTTTTCCTGTAAAGTTTACGCCGTATGTTGTTTGCATAAATACTTTTACACGATAAAAATACGTGCAGAAATAAATTGTAGCATTGCTCAATATGTGACAAAAACGACAAAAAATTTAAAAATTGGCATCCTGAGCTGTTGGTTAGCGTAAATGTTTGCTTGATACAGAAGTTTTATAAACTGTACATACAGTGAATGTAAAAAGTATTCATACACCTTTTTCAAGACAATCTCTGGTGTACGAATACTTTTTACATTCACTGTACAAAATGTGTGTTTACTCCGCTCAGGAAAAATGTAGTTATACTAGTGAGTTTAAAAATTTTAAAATATACGAAAAGTTTTCGGAGAATTTTCTGCTAAATATAGTAACACATAAGCAAAGAACATTTATATAAGATCTATATGTGCAAGAAATACGAGAAAGATAGTGTAATCGTGTTAGTGACGATCGCCTTTACTTTATTGATAATTTTAGATTTCACTTTATATCCCTTTACATTGATATGTATATCGTATTAAGATCATGGGATCATGTGGATGACCGGTCACAAGATAAAAGTTAAATCCGGTTAACGAGTGCTGATTGCAGTTATTATCAGCGACTAAGGAGCGTATATTCCGTTTCTCCCACTCATCCTCGTTCATCACGCGGGAATTACTAGATATTCCGCGGCGGGGTAATACAACATTACAAACGCCTAATATGATGAATTTAGAGAAATGTTCAAGCTAAAAAGCAGCGCCAATGATATTTCTTTTCGCTGTCACTCCTTCAGGCCCATCAATTTCCGCCTTGAGCGCGGCGCGTTATCGCAGAAAGAGATATCGGGATCTTGTAATCCGTCATTCGTAATTTTTCGATACGCTCCAGGAAGTAAAAATCAAAAGTGCTAGATTATTTCGTTGCGGTCTTTGACTATGCAGGCCGAAGCGTAATACGACGATAAGAAATTTCTTGCGGAACGCAGCACAACTTTCTTATTTTTCCTGTTTGTTATTTGACGTTGAAGACGAAATAGTAGTGGTTTGGAACTTGCGTAACAATGATTCGATAAGATAAATGCTAAAACAGTCAAAAGAATAAACGATTGCCTGTCTGAAGAATATAACAAGAAACGAGAAAGCATTCAACAAATTCGTGCAAACAGAGATTCACACTTCCGCGATAACGTTAAGACAAATTGTCCTTGGTCGTACGTGCAATTAATTGCGCGCATACCGAACTCGTGAAAGGTAACAAAGGTAGATCGAATTTATCGCTTTTTATTGATGAGTCATTTCGTAACAATACGCGGGATTACATAGATATTTCACAGAAACTAATATCTCGCATTTTAAATATTTGCTATTTTCCTAAGTCGCTTTATCTGGTACTTTCATGTGAGAAATTTCACTTCATATATATTTATTGTTGGGTCATTGTACGTCATAAGTATTAGTAGCGCGAGTGTACTTGTGCGAGATAACGCATCTATTTTAAACATGATAATAGATTCACTTGTGAAACGCGCGAGTCTCTTGTTCTTCTTTTTTGTCGTCGCTTGGTTTACGGAGAGAGAAGAGCTAAGATCCGTATTAATACTATATTAATACACTGAAAAAAAAAATTTAAAAACTTATTTGTGGAATATATTATTTATTTCTGTGAAATAAAGTTTAATTCTGTGATTAAACTTTATATCCCACAAATCAATTTTCAACTATTTTTTTTTCAGTGTAGTCGTTACTTGAAACGCCTCAGGTAAGATACGCAAATTCAATTTTTGAGTTAGATATGAGTATTTCATATGAATCGTGATTACAGACCCTAACAGCACAAGATCTTCTAGGGATGACCTGAAAACATTCCTAGGTAGAGACATCCTTAGAACATCCTCAGGATATCCTCTGAATGTCTATACTGTTAGTGGATGTCGCATATATTACACGATTCAAGTAAAGAACTGAATTCTAACTCTAAATTTAGATCTGAATATCTCACATGGGACAAGTTTCAAATAACGACTATTAACACGGACCTATATCGAAATTGTTTTGTATTTTCAGACAATTGAGGCCGAACACAGATAATTGGCAAACAACTCACCCCTCTATACCGCCGATCCTGATGTCCTCGGAGAATTTCGGCTCGTCTGACGCGGGTGTTACTTCTGCCTGCGCCGATTCCACGGAGTCGGTCATCTTCGTCTGCTGCCTCAAATCCCTGCGGAGCTGAAACTCATCCACCGCTGTCTCGGCCTGCTTCCTCGCACCCTTCACCTTCTTGCCTTTCTTCTTACCTGCCATTTTTGCAGAATTGTCTTATCAGATTCTGAGACGGTGATTCACCCCTGAACGCTGTCGACGCTGACGTTTCACGAGGATTCGACAGGATCTGGATGAGGGATGCGACAATGTGGAATACTGTGGAACGGTGCACGTACAAAACTGGGATCACAGTACAAGTACAAAGTTATACACATAAAAAATCCATCCCTTCTATTACGAGTTGGAGCATTTCGCATGTGAACTATCGCGAAACGCTGTCAGACACGATTTGCGGATAGTGCGATATTTTCGGATAACACACTTAGTCATCGATAAACGATCTCGTCCGTGCTTTCGCATTATAAACGTCAGGACGATGCTTATCTGAACGAAATATAGATCGTTCACAGAGAGAAATACAGCGGACCTCTCATAGCAGAGTTATTGGATTTCACGATAGTGAAATCGACGAAATAGTGAAAGCGACTTGTACGAGTAATAACACAGAAAGCTCGCATAATTTTCGCCATTCGGGAATCGTGTGTACTTAGCTCCCTTACAATATTTCGCTCGGCAACTGCGAGCAGTAATTGCGGTGATTATGCACAGCATGCTTTCAGACGGGATGCCTGTTTTTTTCAGTCGAACTAGTCCGGTTTTTCTGTTTTTTTTTGTTTAGTTTTCTTTCTTGAGCCCGTGATAACAATAATCCATCCGTGATAACACCGTGTATGAATCGGTCCTTCGGCACGCGCCCGTGATCCGTGTGTACACACGAGCGCTGTGTTAAGTGGTTAGTTCCGCGCGCGCGCTTGGACTAATGGAATAAAGATGAAATTATATATAATAAAAAATATAAAGAAAAGAATGTGTGTGTGTGATAAAAAAAAATATATATCTATACAGGATGTTTGATTTGTATTCGGCTAATAGATGTGCATCGCTGCTCAGAAACAGCCCAGGTAGCACAGAGAATTAAAAAAAAATTCAGTCGTATGTCACCAATTCTGAATTCATTTTTAGATACAAAAAGAATTCTTTTCACTGAACTCTGAAGAATTCTTTTTGCATCTGACAATGAATTCAGAACTGATGACATATGACTGAATTCTTTTTGAATTCTTTTTTAATTCTCAGTGCTATCTGGGAGTCGCTTTTCAGCAGTTTCGCGTTGAAGAACTCGCCCCACAATGTCACGAGTACTAATGCGCTAATCTTTAATTGATATCTCGGAATTTCACGTGATTGTTTGCAAACTGCCAGAGGTTTTCATGCTCAGGTGAATACTCTACTTGCCTGCACACGTGGTATTGGTATTGCGTACTTGCGCAAACATCCTGTACATATATATATATATATATATATATATATATATATATATATATATATATATATATATATATATATATATGTGTGTGTGTGTGTGT